TCATTTGGATTGGTCTTGCCTTAGTGGGAATATGTCTTCTCTTAAAGCCTTTAACGTAAGGTAACCGAACCGAATGTCATTTTCTATGCCAAAAGGCAGTTAGACGATCAGAACAAACTTGGTTTTTAATTTATCGTGCGAAATCTTGAATTTTTTGTTGAAGCACTGGGTCAGCTAACTGATCATCAATGCATTTATAATTAACTTCTTCTTTTAAAAATTCTAACTGTTAAGTTTTACTTTAAAGTAGGTTTACGGATTTGGAAACAGAGGAATCAATTACTGATTTTAATTCTTTCCTAGAGGGGGGCTTAGGAATTTAAACTGGACTTCTTGTCCAAAAGAATGAGTGACTAATCCTTCATTATTAGTAGTGAATGGATAAAAGAAGTAGATAAATGGAACTCCTAGGATTAACTTATCAGTCATATTTTTTACCAAAACAAAGGATGTCTTGAAACATACATTGTTTTGACAAATATGAGCTTTAGATAACTTGTATTTTATATCAATTTTACTTCCATTAGCTGAGCTTAGCCTTTATGAGGTTTTCTCATAGTATTTGATTGGTATGAGACCTTCCTGAATGCAATTAAGATCAGCTTCCGTATCAATCAAAGCAATGACTTCAAGTTTGAAATCTTTGTTGATGATAAGGGTAACTTTAGCATACCATTTTTGGAATGATATGTGATTTAAAGTTTGGAGTTTTTAAGAGGGTTCTGAATGGATTGAATGTTCAGAGCCTTCTTCATCAGATGATTCTTTTCCTTTGAAGGAAAACGCAGGGTTTGTGTTTAACTCCTTGATATTGTTTTTTATGACTTGGTTTTCTAACTTGAGATTTTTAATTTCGGTTTTAATTATGTTAATTTCTGCCTGAAGGTCCTGAATGGTGACTTCTTTAGGCTGGTTATTAAACCTTTCTAATGTTTTATATAGGCTAAAATTGGGTTTACTAACCGTTGGGGGTTTAGTTTCTGAGTTACCCAATAATACCTTAAGTTTTTTAAGATATAAGGTTTTTAACTCATGGTTATCTACTTTGCTGATTAAATCAATAAGTAGATGTTCTTGTTCATTAGTTTTTGTGAGAACAGCAAGTGACTTATTGGGATTGCAGCAACTATCTTTACATCCTAATGTAATGTTGGGAGAACTAGGAGAATTGTCAGATGACTGGGATGAAGAACTGACTTCTGGGTCACTACTACTATCATCAGTGTCTCTTAACTGGAGTATTTGATAGATAGAGTCTTTAATTTCATCATAAATGTGCAACTGATTGATCTTCTTTTTAGCATAACAGTCTTTTGTAAAGTGTCCTAATCGACCACATTTGTAACATTTAATTTTACTAACATCTTTGGTATTTTTGTTATCTTTTTGTCTAGAAGTGTTTTACGGAATTTCTTTTTAGGTCTAGACTTTTCTTTAGAATAGTATTCATTTTTAGGGAATACTGATTTTCTATTCTTGTAATTCCTACGATAACCTTTGTGACTGTTGTAGGTTTTCTTGTAGGGCTTGGAGTTTTGTCTTGAGGGAGCTATAGGAGGAAAACCGTACTGTTCACAGATGGTTCCCATTTCATATTTAGCTCGTTTCCTTTCATCTTGTAAATGGTTACTGATTTTCATGTCAATACACATCTTTAATCCTTCTTTTTGGATTAAGCTAATGAAATTGCTATAAGTAAGGTTATCATAATCAATGTTACCTGTGGCTTTACTAAGAGTATGTCTAATTTTGTGGGTAAAGAGATTGGGTAGGCCATTAATGAATTTTTTTTCCAAAATAGTTTATTACTATCATCTCTAAGCATGACTCTGGAAAGGAATACATCTTTGTACCATCTAAAATCACTCATGGTTGGACAAGTAAGGTTGGTAAACTAGTCATGTATTCTGGAAGTGATGTTACTTGGAGTACCTATGAAGTGTTCAACTATGGTATAGACTAGTGTGTTAACTCCATCAGGAATACCACGTCCTATGGTTTCATCAAAGATGGGAAGGCCATTGTTGTCTTTTTGGACAACATTTTTTTATCTTGTCACGAGAATCTTCAGTGAGATGTTTTTCCCACCATGATTTTAATATTCCTGAAAATCCCGAAGTAAGTAAATCAACAATTTTCGGTTGACTAAGGTTATGTGAAGTAACATAATTGTTAGCTACCATGGATATATGATTGAGTTTATTGAGAATTTCCTGTTCAGATAAACCATCTATATTCCATTTATAAAGTTTATCGGAAGAAACAGAGAATTGATTTTGGATATTTCGTTCTTCATATTGGAGATCAGGAGGCGTCGGTTTTGGGTATCAATTTTTGGTAAGACTAGTGGAGTTGACGCGTTTATTAGTTAGACGATTGAGTTCTAGGTTGGAGAAAGCATTCTCAATATTCTGGATGTCAGAGGGGTAACTAGAATTATTAGAGGAGAAACTATCAGAATTGTCAGTATTATTAATTACAGTGATAATTTTTTCGTCTTTGACTTGGGATTTACCTTTTTCAAGGGTTTTGAGGATGGTTTCAATTTGGAGGATAACAGAAGGATCTGGCAAGGCTGCTAGGAGACCTTTTCTATGTGTAGGCATAGAAATAATGGGTGTTCCATGTAAGAAGTAGTAGGAGTTTTTACTGAAAGATTGGGAGGTTGGGTTAATGAAAGCTCAATTTTGTCTAATTGGGTACCAAGAGTGTGTAAATACTGGTTAGTGAAGTTATTTTGTTCAATTATTTTTCTTGTATCAGCATCAGCTGTGGTACTGACTTTTAAAGGAGAGGCAATGATTTCAGCTTCCATGTGATCAAGTATTTTTTTTGATCAAATATATATTTTTATTTTTATTATTATTATTATTATTATTTTTAACATTACCAAATATATTTTCGATTACTATTAAAAATATTATATAATAGAACAATTATTTTGTGCATATCAAACACAACCTTAATGTTTAATAAAATTTAAAAATTTCACATATAATTCTTTTAAACAAACATGATAGACAGAATGAATTTAATTTAAACTGAGAAAATTTGTGTTGAATGAAAAATTAACATTCTTGTCATAATAAATTAAAAATCTACTCGCACAATTCTTATCAGGAATTTAATTTGAAATGAAAAAATTTGTGATGAATGAAAGATTAACATTCTTGTCATAATAAATTAAAGGGTTAATTATAATGACACCCCCCTGAGGTTTGCCATAATGACAGGCATACATGTTAAGCATTTTTTTAACAATGACACCCCCTGTCAAAAAATGGATCCAAACAATCCCTTAAAAGATGTGAAATGTCAATATTACCCTTAAATATTTTATTATAAAATATTAAAATTCTTAAATGACACTTCTACCTATCAGTAAACCTCACCAATCTCTTTCCTCGATCTCTCGCCTTCTTTCATCAGAATCCCCTCCCCCCTCTCTCTCTCTCTCTATATATATATATATATATATATATGTATGTATGTATGTATGTATATCTTGAACCCTGACAACACACCACCACCGACCACCAACCCCAACTTCACTTCCATCCCCACCGTCCTCCACTTACACCAAAAGGTATTTTTATAATACAAAAATAGGAAAAATAATAATAATACTACAAAAATAAAATAAAAAAGCATTCACACAAGAGGGAGTGGAGAGATGGTGAATTTGGGGGTTTCGACGAAGAGCGAGTGGAGGATGGCGGATATGGACACCTTTGTCAGTACCGATTGCCGACGAGTTGTCGGAGTTCCTCACTTTTGTCCTCGACCTGCTTCATGGTGCTGGCTCCACATTGCGGATCTCAAAGATCGGCAGGAAGAATGATTCGGCTTGTCTGTCTAGGGGTGATGTCCCCCTTCGCCGCCGCCGACGGTGGCTCCATCAGTAGTGGATGGTGATGAAGGTGGGTGGTGGTTTACTGGATTACTTCTTAGGCACATGAGGAACTGGCCTAACATATTTTTAATCGAAATCTCAATCAATATCATTTCCGGCGAGCTTCAGAACATCAGTACACAACATCATCCATCTTCTAACCAAGACTCATCATCTTGGCCTAATTGCCTAAAAGCTTCAACAGACTAAATCGATACCATAAATATCCGGCGTGCGTCAATCCGGTGAAGAGCTATAGTGAACTTCTGATCATCACCGTTTAAACCAGTGAAGTTCCGGTGAGTTTCAGGTACAACAAATTTCAGGGTGAAACAAGAACAACCACGGCCAAATCCTAAAAACCCACCACCAAACTCACGGCTTCTCCCTCAAACCCACCACTAAATCCTAGCCCTCTTTATCCTTAAATCGCTCACCACCACAATTGCCACCATCACCACAAAGAAGTATATAGGTTTTGGCGGCGGCGGCGGTGGCAACATCAATGAGTGATTAAAGTATATATATAAACGAACGGCTTTGGAGAGAAAGAAGGAAAATAGTTTGTTTTATTTATTTATTATTATTATTAATTTTATTAATAAAGGTTAGAAAGGTAATTTCAGTACTCAATTTGGTCAATTTATAAGTCAAAGGGTAAATTTGTCAATTCAGATGTGGCAGGCCATCATTGGGGTGTCTTTATTACCTTTATCAAATTTTAAGGGAAGGTGTTGTTTGAAAACAACTCAACTTGTATATATCTGTTATTATAGTAAACTTTGGAGAGTTTCATTATAATTAACCCTAAATTAAAAATCTACCTGCACAATCCTTTCAGTCATATCTACGTCAAATTTTAAATTTGTAATTACTATTAAATTTAAATTTATAATTTATAATTTTATATATTTTAAAATAATTTGAAATCTTTCTCAAACTTATTTCCTGAAAGTGATCCTCGCCACGTCAGCAGTTAAGATGACGTGGCGAAACATGGTAACAGCACATTTTTTAGTACGCGAGACGATCTTTACACGTAAATTTATATTTTCCCGAGAAAATGAGAACCGCGTGACGAGCCCACGTATCGACTACAAGTCCATTTCATTACCCTTGTTGTTTTTACCTTCACTTCACCCCCAAGTTTCTCTCTCTCTCTCCTCCGAGTGTTGTGCAATCTGTTTCTCTGTTCATCTCTTATCCAAGTCTGTTCTTCAATTGATCGTTCTCTGGTTTACTCAAACTAGATTCAATGTCGGTTAGTATTGGAAATTTCTTCATCCCTCTATCTCTATTAGATTAAAATTTGGATCATTTGCTAATTTTGAATGTTTTATCTGTTTTTAATTAGGTTAGATTCGTTACTATTATTTGACAATTGCGTTTTTTTATGCACAAGTAAATTCTTGTGTTCTACAACTCTACATGATCATACTACTGCTGTATGCAGTCTCTTAGATCTGATTGGTTGCCGCATTTTTTATACTAATTTTAGTTCCTTTGTGAATTTTGTTTCTAAGGAAGTAATTTACTCATCTTAGTATTTTATGTATGTTGTCTTTGAAATTTTTAAGTAATTTGTGTTATATGGTCAGTCTGCTTAATGAAAGTTTCCTATCTGGGTGTGAATTAATCGATACGTGAAAGATCAAATCATGCATATTGAAAACCCGAATATGTTTAAAAGTAAAACAAGCTTCGATTGATCTCTGGGTCAATTGAACTGTTACTGTTCTAATTCAATTAGGATTTCAGATTCTAAAACAGTTTAATACACTTCAAAACATGAAAATAAAGATTCTTACTTATCAAAAAAAAAACGTGAAAGTAAAGATGAAATTATGCATATTGAAAGCCCTAATATGGTTAATCATATGGATGCATATTGAGAGTTGAGTTTTTTCTTTTTGTCCTTGTTGAAATTTTGAATTCATCTTTTTGGTTGGACAGAGGTAATTCAACTAACTTTTAAAATAATAAATAAAAGCTAAAGTGAAACTAATATATTAAAGATTACAGACTCCGTTTTGTACGAAATAGCCAACCTAGGTTCTATAGGCCTTAACACTCTTAACCCTATATAACTTCTATGTACAACAAGTTGCCCTTATGCTACAAAATGGAATTGTCTGTGTATTTTTGTCCTCAACCTTCCACTTCCCAATCACCAAAAAGAAGAGGGGGTTGGATGACTCAAACTATGAATTTATATTCGTTAGTTGGAGTCATTTTGGAATCCTTAATGTTAACATTAAAGGGCTATGCTGCAAGGATGAATTAATGCATCCTCTTTTCTTTTTTTCTTTTTTTTTTCCTTTTTTTTTTTTCTTTCACATCTATATCCTCTGCTGAAAAATGAAGACTAAGACAGGAGTTTCATAGAGGGAAAAAAAAAAAAAAAAAGCCCTTTATACCCCGGGGGAAAAAAAATTCCCTCTATGGGAATTGAACAGATGACTTTCGCATATTTCTTAGGGCCTTTAAAGATCATGACTCTGCCCCTTAATTAAAATGGTGCATTTGACTTCAGGTAATGTATTTCTTGAGGGTTGAAGGATTTTTTTCCCACTCACTTATAAGTTGTTGCTTTACCACATCTACATATTATGCTTATATTTGTGTATGCTAGTTGATCTGATTTGATAGTATGGACATTTTGGATTACGTGTGGAAGATACTCAATGTGATCTCATCCTCTCTTTCTCTCTCTTTCTCTTGTATGTTTTCTGTCATCGCAGATAAGAACGGTGAAAGTCAGCAATGTCTCCTTAGGTGCTTCTGAGAAAGATATAAAGGAGTTCTTCTCTTTTTCTGGTGATATTGAATATGTTGAAATGCATAGGTCAGTTAGTTTTAGTAATGTCAGGTTTTTTCTTCTCTGCCTTTTTTATTGATGATGATCTTCCATTTGGTTGCCTCGCCTAGAATAACAAAACAACTCATAAACTGGAATTATACTTGTATCTTATTTTCCAGTGAGAATGAGAGGTCTCAAATTGCATACATTACTTTCAAGGATTCTCAGGGGGCAGAAACTGCGGTTCTTCTTTCGGTATATCTACTTCTTAAGACCTATGGAATTAATTATTTTATTTGTTTTAGAATGTTTGTTGTTGACTTAACATTAAATCATTTGATGTGACCCTGCACTTCTATACTATAAAGTTATGTACTTTGTTTCCTTGTTGACATGACCGAACCTTGTCACTAACTTATCAGTTTCCCATATGTCTTTTTGGTCGACATTTTGTGATGCAGGCAGAATTTCAAATAACTGATGCCGCCTTACCAAGAGTATACGATCAAATCATCTTCACAACAATATTAAAATGAAATAAAAGACTAATGTTAGAGAAAGTAGAATTGCAAAGCAAAGCAAACTTTTTTTGCTGTAAAAAAAAATAAAAAAATCTCTTCAACTAAAACTGTAAACCCTAGCAATTACAAGGCTTTATATAGAGTTTCTTTCTCCCCAAACCTAGCCTTATATTAGAAAACTACCAAATATAAAATAAAATCAAAATAGGAAAGCCGTTGAAAATCAGAAAACTACTCAAAAAGGAAAGCTGATGAAAATCAGAAAACTACTTAAAATTAGGAAACTTTCAAAATATGGAAAGTTTATGAAAAACACAAATTCCACTTGGAGAAATTTGAAATTCTGCCTGCATCATTTTGTCTTTGATCGGTTTCGTTATATTAGAGAATAATTTCAAAACCTGTGTCTATATTTTGGTTAGCCACTGAACTGCCATCTTAAGGTTTTTGAAAGAGTAGCTGCTGTGAGGATCACAGGATAAGAACTCTTGTTCCAAAATGTAGTTTTCATGAACATAGTTTAAAATCAAATTTAGTTTTTTGAGAACCTTGTGTACTTCATATGAGGTGGTGGTTTAAATTTTCTTTTGAATTTGAACCAATTAGTTTTTGTGCAACTGATGTTCTAGTCAAGATCATGGAACAGATCTGACATGATTCCACATCTCAATTAGATTTTACATAGCTATTTTTAATTGATTTATTACCTTAAGTTAGATTCTTGCAGATTTTATGCATGTATTAGCTGAGTATATTTTGGATCATGTGCATTATATGGAATGTTGCATTTCTTACACTACTTATCAAGATTTTAGTAGCAATTCTTTTCTTCAATTAAATTGTGCATTAGGGGATACACATGATTTTTTATCGATAGGAACATATTAAGTAGCCATATTTATGGAAAAATGGAGATAGGAAATGATTTTTTTTTAATTTTTAATTTATTTTTTTAACATTTGAAATACATCCATTAACTTACTTCCTGAGCTTTCTACTTGTAAAACAAGTAGGATTACCATCATGAAGATTACACAATCCAATATTATGCCATGTTAACTTTTCTGTCCTTCATTTTTCCTAGTTTCACTTTTTGTATGATCAATATTATCAACTGTGATGCCTTCTAGGGTTTCATATGCAAGTCCATAATTGTGAAGGAATTGTATATTTTCTTATTATCTTACCCGTAGTTTTGTGTAGCTTTATACTTCTATTCTCTATTTCAACTTCTTGTGTATAATAATTACTTTTTTGCTTTTCCAGGGATCAACAATTGTTGATCAGTCTGTTAACATTGCTCTTGCTCCAGACTATGAGCTGCCACCTGCTGTTTCAGCCCCTGCTGTATGATCTTCTCTTAATGCATTTCTTTCTTAATGATTGTTCTAATGTGACTTAATTGTTCCAACTTCTGTAGGCCACAGAGAACAAAGATACAGGTGGTGCTGGATCTGCTGTTCAAAAGGCTGAGGATGTCGTAAGCGGCATGTTGGCCAAGGGTTTCATCTTGGGCAAAGATGCAATTAACAAAGCGAAGGCTTTAGATGAGAAGCACCAGATCACTTCCACCGCCACGGCTAAAGTTACTTCTTTGGATCAAAAAATAGGTCTTACCGAAAAAATCAGCGTTGGCACTACCATTGTGAATGAGAAAGTGAAAGAAGTGGACCAAAAGTTCCAGGTTTCTGAAAAGACCAAGTCAGCTTTTTCAGCTGCTGAGCAGACGGTTAGTAATGCTGGATCAGCCATTATGAAGAACCGCTATGTACTGACTGGGACATCGTGGGTTACTGGTGCTTTTAATAGGGTTGCCAAGGCTGCAGGGGATGTGGGGCAAAAGACAAAGGAAAAAGTGGTCGAGGAAGAACAAGGAAGAAACATAGCTGCAGGTTATTCCCAGGTACATGACACTGAACACCCCAATTGAGCAGCCTTTCAATCCTATGCCTGCAGTGGGCTTGATACTTCAATTTGTTAAATCTGGTGTAGATTAATACTTTTCTTTTGGTTTGGCAGTATAAATATAGGTTATCAAATATTGTTGGGTATGTAAGCTTTATGTGAAAGCATTTTGTTTGTTTGGACAGCAGTAATAAATTCTGCATTCTTGAGGTTTTTTATATGTGCATCTCATAACTAAATTTGCAACGAAATTTCTGTTAGATCTACGGGGTATATTTTGGCTTTTACCATCCGCACAGCATGTGAGTTTTGAATTAGTTACAGGTTTTTACAAGAATTCGTTGGGATTGGAAACAATGACGGAGAAAGTGGATAGGATAATCAAGGTGATGATGTTAACAATGGTTGAATTCGCATTGAATGTGAGACTGAATTCGACATGGTTCCAATGAAATCTCTCTTTCTATGTTTGTGTGTGTGTTTGTGTGTGTGTGTGTGTGTGTGTGTTTGTGTGTTTGTGTGTGTGTGTGTGTGTGTTTGTGTGTTTGTGTGTGTGTGTGTGAGAGAGAGAGAGAGAAAATGGGAGCTACTTGTTAATTTTTCACTCTCTTGTCGGTTATGATGGTAGAGATTAGAGAGGGAGGAAGATGTTGGATTCTTCAGTTGAGTGGTGGTGTTGTTTTCAAGGTATCTAGATGTTGATAACATGATGGAGGTGGGGAGAGATGAGGAACAGCGACTTTGTATGAGTGCGTGTGTTTTGGTAAATGCCGACTTTGTACGAGTGTGTGTGTGTGTTTTGGTAAATGCCTTGTGGTCCTTATAACAACCCAAACCGAGTCCTCACCTAAACCGGAAGTGGCCGAGGGGTACTATGGTTATTTCACATTAATTTAATGATTTAAGGTCCATTAAGGATAAAATCGTCATTTATTAGAGTCATTTCATGAATTAATTGAGGTCCGAAGGCTTTATAATCATATCATGTCATTCTAATGCTCCTAGAGTTAATAGGGGTATAATGGTCTTTTTGCATGGTCAAATAATAATATTAAACTCAAAAGGGTAAAATAGACTTCTATCGTGGCTAAGTAGTGATATAGAAACCCTCATGGGCAAAATAGTCATTTTCTGGTCAAGTTATAACATTCATACCCTTCGGGGGTAATTTTATCATTTTCTAGGGTAATTCTGGACTTTGGTTGAGGTCTGGGGGTCTTTGGGTAATTATATTGAAATATGAAGTCATTGTGCAAACATTAGTTCAGTTCATCTAACCGCGTACATGAATGGTCCAGTGGAAAAATCGTCCAAAAATCATATCTAACCAGATAGACTCTATCTAATCGGTTAGATGATGAAAATCATGCAACCCATTCTCTACCCCATACATCTAATCGAGTAGATGGAATCTTCTACCCGGGTAGAAGAACACCACATATCCTATCTAACCGATTAGAAAACTCCATCTAACCGGTTAGATGGGAAAAATCCATCAAAACCAACACATTGTCCATTCATTTAACCGAGTAGATGTTCCTATCTAACCGGTTAAATGATGCCCAAATATGAATTTAACGAAATTTTTGCTTCCCAAACCCAATCAAATGCAATCCCCAAACAACTAAACATGAAATTAAAACTCCATGAACATTATCAACCCTTAAACGTTTCATAAAATTAACAAATATCATCATTCATACATCTTTGAAACATTTATACAGGTGCAAAAGAATATGTTTACAAGATGATGAGGCCTTCATGGCCATAATTACAAAGGCTTCGCTTGAAACTCACAAAAGAATATAATTACATTACAAAATCATTGTCCATACTAGTCTATTACAAAAGATATCAAAAGCTCGTCCCTTCACTCTAAGCTTGCGGGGGTGCATTGTCTACGACTTCCTTGCTATGTCCTGAAAATGATAATTAAGGGGTGAGCACAATGGCTCAGTAGGAGATGCCTAAAGCATTAGCTTTGGGCTCCCTTGAATCAACATACAAAGAATAGATAAAAGGAGTTGGGATCATACACGGGAATACCAATAAGCTGAAATCAACCCAAACACACCATTATGCAATGTAATGACATGTTTTGCCGACCATATTCCCGGCCCAACTCAACTCACACCGAAAACCGCTAATCGACTTTACCGAGGCGAGATTGACTACTATCTCTGGCCTCAAATCCGACGACCATTTGGGGCCTAGTAAATCAACTTTACGCGTCCAAGTCCGGCACGCGATCCCTTTAGGTTAAGATTAGCACCGGACTCGCGAAATCCGATTTCCTTAATAAAATACTTTATCACAACCATTCCCAAACAATGTCCATGTCATGAAATAAATTCATGAGTTATAACATCGAATTAACATAACTCATATTTCCATCAACAATTTAAGCATGCTTGATTTCAAAATAAAGCACATCATCAACTTCAACCAAGAATCTCAATATAGCAACTTAAACACATAGCATCCTTTCATAACAACAATGTAGCATTTCAATTATACCCACACATAAACATGATGTTTTTCACGAGACACACATATATCATCTCAAGTCCCAAAGAATCATCATTTTATGCAAGTAAAACATGGAATCAAAGGAATACAATTCAAAAAGAACTAAAGCATGGTGAGTTAGACACCCCTACCTCAAGTATGGAAGCCGAACCTTTAGCTCCCAAACTCGAAAATCCCCAAATGGATACAAGACTGGTATAGAAATGTAGACCTTGAAGAATAGAACAACTTTTCCTTTTTGCTCATTTCCTAAATCTCACATTAGCTATCTCAAAATCTAGAGATTTTAGAGAGAGGAAGTGAAATGGATAAAAAAGAGAGACAAAAATGGGAGGAAAAGGAAATGAATGTAATGTTACCGATTTTTCTTATTTTCTATTTTCTGGAATTTTTTTTTAATTTTTTTGGATTATTTTAATCATTGCCTCGTTTTGCGTGCCACGCGGGCCCCGAGGGTCGTTTTGGTCATTTCCTTGAGCCGAGAGTTTTAGAAGTATATTTTTAATCATTTTAAGACAATTAGAAGTAACAGTGTCATTTTTAGAATTTTTCAAAGGTCGGGGCGATTTCCGGAATCGGGAACTTCTCCAGGTTTTGTCATTTTAAGAGAGGGGCATAATGGACTTTTCTCATATATCTGTATACATCTATATCTATATATTAGAGGTAGATATTTGTGGGATATGGATTGTGTATAAAGTTTAAGGGCAAGATGGTAAAATGACAAAAAGTTGATTCCACTCAAAGCTTGACGAGTGACACGCTTAGAACCATGGAATTATTGTAAAAAAATCAACCCAATTTCCTCTTCCTCTTCATCTGGCCGAGAACCCCTTCTCTCTTTCTAGTTTTCCTTTTTCCTCTCTCTATATATCTATACATCTATATACACAATTGCCTCCATTGTTTTAAGTCTTGGTTTGAGGTGTTTAGAGTGAGGTTTTGGAGGTGACCAAGAAGGGAAGTTAAAGAGCTTGGAAAGATCTTCCATTTGGCACCCATAATGCTAGGGTTTGGAGAATTTCAAAGCTAGGGCTTGCTAAGGCCTTGTTTGGTTTGCTATCTTGAGGTAGGGGAAGTCTAAATTACGAATTCCTATGATTTCAGTGAGTTTCTATGTATTTTCTTACATAAAATTCTTGATATTGTGAAGCTTGCTTAGTTATAAAATTTTGGTTGTGATATTAAGCATGAGATGATTTTGATCTAATTACTTGAGTTGAGAATATGATGATTCCCTTTATTTGTACTAAGTATGCTAACTCTCTATGATAAAATGTGAAAAATATGATTTGTATGGTCAATTTTATATTTGGGTGTTTTGATATGATTATTACGATGATTTGTATTTTAATGAATTGTAGTATAATGTGCATATCCTTGGTATGGGGTGAGTTGAGAGGATTTATGTTTAATATGGGAGAGAAGGTTAGGAAATGAGATGATGGTGGTGTTGTAAATAAATTTAATGATTATGAAGGTTTTAGGCAGGTTGGGTTGGAAAGGAAGAAGGGAACATTTGCATTTTATGTGTGATGGAATGGTTTGTGAATTTGGGAAATTCATATATAATTGATATGACTTATTATCCCATGATCCCTTTTCTTTGATTTCCCTTTCTTTGGTTGTGGCTCACGGGATTTTTAAGAATGTAATTTAGGCTTTTTATACTGAGCTGTTGAACTCACCCTATTTTTATTAATATTTTTCAGGAAACTTGGAGATGAACTGATGAATTATATGCATCCATGGATATTGATGTAGTTGGGAATTTATTTCATTTATATCAAAGCTATGTAATTTTGGCCTTGGAGGCCTCAACCCTTGTATTTAACCTTTTTGAAATTGTATAAAATGAGATTTTGTGTAATTCGTCTTTAAACGATGTATCGGACTTGTATTCGATCTAATTGAAGGCACGGGAGTTTAATTTTGTTGCATACACTGTCAATTGCATGTTTGGGAACGGGATTAGACTTTATTTAAGATCACCAATGGACCAAGGGAGTGTCCATATGTATGTATTTCAGTATCTAGGCCTTTTCTGGGTTAAATCTTTAGATTCTGGACTTGGGGAACCAGTTCAAGGGTGTTTTTGGTTCGCATTATGACTTTTTATCCATGTGGCATAGGTACCAAGATTTGGGAACCGGTTCTAGCCCTCCAGTGTGTATTTTTCCCTTGACAGTGTATCAGCTTTGACTATATAACTTCGTTTAGTCATAACTTCTTCGTTCTAAACCCAAATAGGGTCATTCTTGAGTCCATTTTCAAGAATTTTGAGTTAGATTTCCAATGAGACCAACCTCATCCTCAAATTCCATTCATGTTGAGAGTTATTGCTATTTTAGTAAAACAATGTCGGGATTTCCCTTGAACCGGGTAAAAGCACTTTTGGGAAATCACATCCAATGACCGAAGAACCTTTTCAAATGTCATGGAATGACTAGAAAGATTGTTTTAAAATTTATTTGACTAGTTTGAAGACTGATTACCCTCTCATATTGTAAAATGACCATTTTACCCCTAGTGTGTCCTCGGGTTTTGGTAAAGACCCGGTTAGCCATTCCGACCCTGGGTTTGAGTCTTTACAATGAAGTTATGGCTAATGTTTTCCACGACTTCATCTGAAATGATTGGCTCAAAATGGATGAAAAGTTCACCCAAGCTTAAATGCCAAAAATGCCTTTCAAAGCTCACTAAAACTACACCATTACCACAAAATATCCATCTCCACCCACATG